TCTCATATGGGGGAAACCATTGGTTTAATGGTTTAATGGTTTAATGGTTTAGTGGATTTTCATATGGGGAAAACCATTGGTAAGGCTTAATGGTTTAATGGTTTAATGGTTTGAGGGATTCTTGGTTAAATGGTTTCAGGGAATGTGCAAAAACACAGGGGAACCGCTATAGGCGGTGACCCATATATATATATATATATATATATATTACCTACGTAATTATACATATATATATACATATCTACATATATAGCTGCTCGCCTCGGCTTCTGGCCGAGGCGTCTTCAACTAATCATCTGAAACCATGGCTCAAATGCACGGATCAGCCTTTTGCGAACTTGCGAAGTCGCAAGTATCTGTGGAGAGCTATGTATAAGAATCGGCTTTTGTACAGGTGACGGATATGCATGCTCGGCTATCGTGTTGTTGTGTTGTTGCTGTACAGCATAACGTTGAAATGTGACATGCCAAAGGGAACCTTTCGTAGCCCTTCCCTTGCAGCCAAGAAATTGCGAAGCGGTCGCGGCATCGAACATGTAGACCTGAGCAGGATTTCTTCAAGGGTTTAGGGTTAGGCCTAGGACCCCCATCAGCATCCCTGCCCTCCTACCTCCTGAACTCAGTGCTGCGCCATGTGACATAGGACTTGGCTTTCCTTCGTCTGCGATGTGCACGCTGCACCCCGCGTTGGGCCAGAGGCTGCAGAGGCGGCTTGGGCAAGCTTTTTACAATTAGTGTTTATACTAGTTCATGGTTGGGATCGTATTAAAAACTTAAATGCGCATTCCTTATTGGGTTTAAGTACACTTAAAAAAGAACAATGTTACCCAACTATGGCCAAGTATAGGGCTTGTGGTACACGTTTTGGTTTACTCACTGAGCCCTTGTTCGCAACCCAGTCTTGGGCAACAGTGGTCCGGCTGAGGAAATTGACCTCCAGTCTTGACAAGAGTGGGGATATTCCTTAAGGACCTCCTTACTCGTAGGACTGGGACCAAACAGGAAGTCGATCGGCACTGTCGAGTCAGTATGCTAGTTCTTTAGGATAACTGGTAAAAGGGCGGATGTTATGTACCGAACGAAACCCCAAATTCCTAACCCCTGTATCAGGCCTTTGCCCACATCCTAGTTGTCCAGAAACCTGGGGGAATTAAAGGTTAACCTTTGGGATTCTAAGGGGACTATACTACCCCAACAAGGTTAAAGGTTACCTAAACCCTAAACCCTGAACCCTAAACCCGAAACCCTAAACCCTAAACCCAGCCTCCGAAGGGGTACCTACTCTACTACTAGGACATGAACCAGTAAACGCAAGACTGTGTGGCTCGGTCAGGGTCGCCCCTCACGAGCCCTCCATCACGGCTTCCGGAAGTTCGTGCCCGCATAGCTACAGAGATGCTCGAGCTCCTCCTGGGTTCAGGGGGGGGTTTAGGGTTTAGGGTTTAGGGTTTAGGGTAATTATCTTGGGTGTACCTGAGGCCCCCCAAAGTTCCTAAACTCCCAAAGTAACGCGTATGGCTAGCCCAGGTAGGGTAGCTTTCGGCGTTCTGCGTGTTTGCGGAGAGTACAACGCAATAAGAGCGCAACTTTTGAGCTCTGCCTGATATTTCCGCAGCTGGTTGCATCATGTACCAAGAGCTGCTGATAACACCTCGACGTCTGCACCTCAACCACTTCATCGTACCCGCACCTGCCTTTCCGCACAAAAAAGCGCAGAGGCCTGGCCCTTAAAACAAGCACATGTCAGCCCTAGCAAGATGTGAAGGCGGACGTGTCGCACAGCACGCTTCCTTAATCCCAAAACCCTAATCCCTAAACCCTAAACCCTGAATGCAAAGATTTCTCTCCCCCTCTCTCATCATCAACTCCTGCCTCAATTCGGAGGAGCTGGTTGTACTTTGACAGACCTGCTGTTACAGCACTGCTGCTGTCCCTCAGCCTTCGTAAAATGGGTGTGTTGGGATGTTCCCCCTTTTTGTAACAGTCCCTGCTAGGGATTATAGTACCCCCTAGTGTAATCCTATTAAGGACAGTTAGTATAAGCGGGAACATCCCAACATCCCAACCCTAAACCCTAAACTCTAAACCCTAAACCCTAAACCCACATCCCAGTGTGTGTGTGTGTGTTGACATGATACTTGATTCTTTGGGGACAGATCCACGGAAGCCTACACCCGGTTGTTTAGGGCTTAGGGTTTAGGGTTTCGGGTTTAGGGTTTAGGGTTTAGGGTTTAGGGTTCAAGGTGTAGAGCTCTTCGGGGGGATTCTCGGGAACAGACCTAGCCGGTGGTGAGGCTTTCCCTCAAACCCTAAGCCCTAAGTGGGGATGCAGTGCCCAAGGTTGGACGCTTCAAGATGATTCACCTACACAGCTTATGGGTTCCAAGCAGGGAAGTGCGAAATTAGGTACCATATCTCCCTTTATCATCCTGTACAGGCTTCGATAATGAGGTACCCAATGATTCTTTGGCTGAGAACTGCGTGGTAAGTAAGGCTAGGGGTCGGGAAATTTAGCCCGACACATCTCCGCTCAAAAAACCAGAGGCCTTCAGAAAGGCACCCGAAACCCTTGTTAAGGAACCTGAGCGACAGCAAGCTACCGGAGCAACGGCACTAGAATTTCATACTGGCTACATGACCCCACGATGATAGTCATTTCAGTGTAAATGTTCCCCAGCAAGAAGCCACTAAGCACAAAACCCTACAAGACAGCGAAGCCCCAAGCGCAATTTCTGGCAAGAAGGGCCGCGGGGTAGGGTTTAGGGCTTAGGGTTTAAGGCTTTTTGGGGCCAACAGGGCCCTGCTGGGATATGACATGGGCCGAGGATGTCTGCAGGGTGTCGGATGTTGGGATGTCCAGGGCTTAGAAGGTTCGGTATTCGGCGTTTAGGATGAGGGAAAGAGGAAGAGAAAGAGAGCAAAGAGAGAGACAGAGAGAGAGCGAGAAAGAGAGAGAGAGAGAGAGCGAGAGCGAGAGAGAGGGAGAGAGGGAGAGAGGGAGAGAGGGAGAGAGGGAGAGAGGAAGAGAGGGAGAGAGGAGAGAGGGAGCGGGGAGAGGGGGAGGAGGGGGAGAGGGGGCGCGGGGGGGAGAGGGGGAGAGGGGGAGAGGGGGAGAGGGGAGAGGGGAGGGGGAGAGGGGGGGAGAGGGGGAGAGGGGGAGAGGGGAGAGGGGGAGAGGGGGAGAGGGGGAGAGGGGGGAGGGGGAGAGGGGGAGAGGGGGAGAGGGAGAGGGGATACTTGCTTTCTAGCATACTCGAGCAGACTGCGCGAACGATCGAGCGCCGCACGCTCCGACCGGCAGGGGGCTCCCGTTTTGATCCTCAAGGTCTGGGCTCAGTGCTGCTTTTCAGGGTTTAGGATTTAGGGATAAGGATTTACGGTTTCGGGTTTAGGGCTCAGGGTTAGAGTCCTCGGCGCACCTTCGTTTAGGGTTTAGGCGTGGGTTTAATTCGGCATGAGGTTCCCCTTGTAAGGCCAAGAAGGTTCGCTGAGCCTCGTTTGGGTGTTCAATTTCGGGTGCCCTGAAAATCCCTCAACCGAGGAAATCCTCTGAACCCTTTTTGTCCAACCCCAAAGGAGTTCCTGATCAGCATCTGACACAAGCACCGGACCCTATATATCCTCTAAACCCGAAATTCCCGAAACCCTGAACCGCGAAACTCCTAACCCCTAAGTAAACCCCTGAACCCTAAAACCCCTGAACCCCAACACCTAAAACCCCTCAACCCTAAACCCCTAAGAAACCCTGAACCCTAAACAACCAAAACCTAAGCCCTAAGCCCTCAGCCCTAAGCCCTAAGCCCTAAACCCTAAACCCTAAACCCTAAACCCCTAACCCCTAACCCCTAAACCCTAAACCCTAAACCCTAAACCCCAAACCCTCCCTCCCCCTGCAACTCCGCCCTCTGGGATCTCACGCTGCCCGGTGCGCAGACCGACCACCAGGTCGGCGATGAAGGAGTCCTGCGTTGTAGGGCTGGTTTAGGGTTTAGGGTTTAGGGTTTAGGGTTTGGGGTTTGGGGTTTAGGGTTTAAGCTCCCGCGCTGCGCAATAATGGCTGCGCGCCTTGGGAGTTTTTTCGGGCTTCCTCACGGGGATTCGAGCCGAGGTTGAGGGTTCACAGAGGCCTTTAGGGTTAGGGTTTAGGGTTTAGGGTTTAGGGTTTAGGGTTTAGGGTTTAGGGTTTAGGGTTTAGGGTTTAGGGTTTAGGGTTTAGGGTTTAGGGTTGATTTAGGGTTAGGGTTTAGGGTTTAGGGTTAGGGTTTAGGGTTTAGGGTTAGGGTTTAGGGTTTAGGGTCTAAGGTTTAGGAGTTTAGGGTTTGGGGTATCGCTGCATGAGCGAACGACCGTCTATGTCGGCTCGGAATTGCCTCAAAAAGCCGAAGTAAACCTCCCACTAGACTTTCCTGAGCCCTGAACCCATGAGCCCTAGGCTTCTATTCGCTTTCTATGCTTTAGTTCTTAAGGTTTCTATAGGAGGGTTTACGAAAACAGGGGACACCCAACATAGATCCCGAAATAGCAGGAAGGGCCCACACCTCTGTCTCGCCAGATCTGTGTGAGACCTTGTCTTGGCGTTTCACCCCCCAGGCTGGGCGAAGCATGCTCAAAGCAACCCTGATTAGATGTGGGGGTTTTCGAATCAAGGGGTGCCCCTAATATAGACCCCCAAAAAGTAGGATTCCCTTAGAATAATCTAATAAGGACCCCAAGAAGGTACCCCTAAGTTCGGAAACCCCATGTGACCTCGGGAAGTGTTGGTGGGGCCCCGAATTTCCTGACTGAAAGCTGCGCAAGATCAGGAGCTACGCATGCACCTGATGCAGAGGCCACCCCACAAGAAGAGACAAACCGGGGCTTCCAGCCGTCAAGGGTGCCCTTTTCTGAGGCCCTGATACGGGGGATTCTACCCTAAACCCTAAACCCTAAACCCTAAACCCTAAACCCTAAACTCTAAACCCTAAACCCTAAACCCTAAACCCTAAACCCTAAACCCTGACTCAGGCAGCGACCATGACGCCCCAGCCCGCATCCATGGAGATGTTGGCGGCCTCTATCGCCTGTCTTCTGAAGGTTTATAGGGAGCCAACATCTTTCTGAAGAACTTCTGTCAATTAAAGCCCTAATTATGGCCCTGTGTAAGCCTAACTCCGCTGGGGTCGGGAGAAGTCGTCTCGAGATAAAGTGAGCAGCGAGGAGCCATGCGATCCGAACAGGACAAAGTGTGCCAGGCACGAACAAACACATGCCCAAACAACTGGCTGGCTGTCGATGCGGTTCGCCAAGCCTGCATGCATACGCCCAAAGAGGGACGTCGCAACAAGGCCCCCTCACATCAACATCTGCGAGCTGGCAAGATCTGCCTCCATCTGGTGTCAACTCAACTATGGGGCGCGATCACAATGTGACCCTTTGCAAGGGACGCCCCAAAGAGAGTGCAGCTCGCTCGGGTCGCTTGTTGCTTCCTTTTGTAACATCGGCCAAAAGAGCTTGCCGTCTTCTGCATGGAGATGCCATCGCAGCGCGCAAGAACCTTCGAGGCGGGTAGCCCGATCGCAGCTTCGAAGGATATGTCGCACGGAAACACACATGACATGTCTTGGTCCGATACCGAAAGGGAAGAAAAAAAGCGGGATGCTGGGATTCCCACCGCTATCACGAGCATGCGGCGTCCGAACCGAAGGATGCAAAGTGGTTCTTCACTAATGGCCCATGCGAAAAGAATCTAGACAACACATCGAAAATCACCCATCTTCTTGAGAAAAAAAACGTTCGCCATATCTCCGAGAACTTGGGTTTCGAGCCACCCGCCATAGATCCGCCGGCTGCACCCCAACAATGGATGCACTTCCCGGTACCTGCAGCACAGGCACCTCCGGAACGTTAGGGTTTAGGGTTTAGGGTTTAGGGCTTAGGGCTTAGGGTTTAGGGTTTAGGGTTTAGGGTTTAGGGCCACCTAAGTTGCCCGACCTCCCTGCCAGCTGTTAGCACGACTTTTCGATTAAAACATCCTCCAAAAAGTTGCCGATGGGGATGGAGGCCATAGCTGAAGAACTGCAACACCTTTGGCGCCAAGCATACCCTAAGCAATATAGGGGACTTAACAGCTAGACAAGAGCTTTGGGGGTCATTATCAGTTTATTTATTGAAGGCCATAAGGGAATATCATTTGTAATTCTTAGGGTTCATCCTTGGCCCGAAACGTCCAAGAACCCCCGCACCCTGAAGGTATGCGAGGCTTGTGTCTCCTAGGCAAATCTACGATCCTGAGCCGCGTGGACCCTGCACTCGGAAAGGGTTCCCCAAAAATCTGCGCGGCCGCCGTGCCTCCGTGACCGAGCCGATCTGGTTCACCTGTGAAGAAAATTAGGCATAGGCACGGGCGCGCGCCATCATTCCAGGCTCACGAAGATACAGGCTGAAGCGAGTTGGCCACGTACCGCAGTCATCTAGGGGAGACCAATCATTTAATTGCAGTTTCCATCAAACAAAATGGGTTCCGAACTAAACAGGCAAAAGCGCCAGGCCCATACTCCATTCAACTAAGCTGTAGAACTCTAGAACCCCAAGCGCAAAGCTGACGTTATCAAATCCCTTGGGCCTTCAGGAGCAAGGCGTTGCAGGCTTTGCAGTCGAGGGCCTTGCGTACCCGAGTCGGGTTCGTGACCTTGGAGGCGCAGCTTCACAAAAGGGCTTGGGGTTTTAGGGTTTAGGGTTTAGGGGTTTTAGGGTTGTAAAGGCTATGAACTCTCGTGACGTCATGGGATCTAGTGCAATGCAGGCTTGTATATTTGAATAGGGCTCCCGCATGTAAAACCTCATGGCCGAAGCACCAACCCTAAACGCCATGCCCCTGAGCCCCGTAAAACCTAAACCCTGGACCCTGAACCCTAAACCCTAAACCTTAAGCCCTAAACCATTGAACCATAGAACGCAAGCATGCCTGAGCCTTTTTCAAACTAGTAGGCCCCTATTAGGTACACAGGCTGAACTGCCAGGCGAATGCTGACAAGACGGCTCACGACCGGGAGCCAGACCAGCAAGTCGTCACCGACGATCTGCACTTGGCCCCCAACCGCCGCTTGGAACCTTCGCCACCCTAACCCTAAACCCTAAACCCTCCAAACCCTAAACCCTCCAAAACCTAAACCCTAAACCCTGAAGGAGAACGAATGCGCCTAGCCCCCTGAACGCCAGGAGCCCTTGAAGGCGTTAAAGCTGGGGAGGGAGGGTTTAGGGCTGATAGGGTTTGGGGTTTGGGGTTTGGGGTTTGGGGTTTGGGGTTTGGGGTTTGGGGTTGGGGGTTGGGGGTTGGGGGTTGGGGGTTGGGGGTTGGGGGTTTAGGGTTTAGGGTTTAGGGGCAAAAGGCATAAGAATGCAAAAGAAAATAGGCAAGAGGATTCTGGTTCAAACTACTCGTCAAAGAAGCAAAGACGGAGGCGGAAACTCTCCAGCCGTCAAACCCTGCAAAGATTGCAGGATGTACACGTGGCGGCAGCATGCGGCAGCGACGTGCACTTTGGGGCTTGGCCTTACCCTCTCCTTCGTAAAGGCTAATCTATACCCCCCTGAAAACCTTAATCAAAATATTATTTTTAGTACCCTCTTGGGTTTCATATAAACAAAAGTAAAAATACTCCCCAAGAGGGATATAGAAATGGACTGGATTCAGCCTGTCAGCTGAGCAGGCGACTTGGAGTATGCCTCCCAGTCATCTTGGTCGAAGGGGTCCTGACTTCCATCCCGTTTTTTGGAGCTATTGAGGTTTAGGGTTTAGGGTTTAGGGTTTAGGGTTTAGGGATTAGGGTTTAGGGTTTAGGGGTTAGGGTTTAGGGTTTAGGGTTTAGGATGCTGAAACAGATCTCTTAGGGACAGATCCCTTCATGGGCACCCGTGAACCTCCCAACATTTGCGCCTCGATTGAGACGAAGGGGTAGGAGGAGAACCAAGCCTGCCACCGTTCGCTGACGAGTCGCCGGAATCCGAGATGGGAGTTGACGAAAATATGAAACCCTTACTTTAGACCCCCAATAGTAGGCCCTCATAACAAGGACCCCAATAAGGTACCCCAAATTTCGGAAGTGCCCATATTGCAAGAGTAGTGCGTGGTGCGGTGCACACGCAGCAGCATGGCCAAAGCTGCCAGCCTTGTAGTATTCGATCATCTCCTCCAAGAGGGATCGAGGCAGCACTGAAACCTATTACAACCGTAGGGGCAAGAGCTTCATGTAGGGTCCGTTAAGCAATAAACCCTGATCACACGCCCAAACCCAAGCTAAACTCAGCTCTGTGCCAAACCACAAACCCTGAAAAAGCCTACATGGAAGCTGAACCCTATCCACTAAAGCCCTAAGCTCCCTGCACCCTGACCTCCCTAAACCCTGAACCCCCCAAACCCGAAACCCTAGACCCTAAATCCTTTAAATTACTAAACCCTAAACCACCGAATGCCCTAAACCCTAAGCCTCCGAACCCTGAACCCCCCTAAACCCGAAGACCTCCACCCTCGACCCCCACGTCCTCCGCGGTCTTTTTCATCTCTGGGGCGCCGCCAGCCTGAATTTCGGGCTGTGTATTCAGGATCCCTAAACCCTAAACCCTAAACCCTAAACCCTAAACCCACGATGTTCTCAAGATCCTCTCCGGTGCCTCGTTCTTGAAGTCGAGGTCGTACTTCTTCTCTTCGGGCCTCTACGGCTTTCAGGTTTCTGGAATTAGGGTTTAGGGTTTAGGGTTCAGGGTTTAGGGTTAGGGCTCATGGACTCAAGCCCCTGGCGGTTGAAGGATTTTGGGTTCAGGATTTGGGGGTGTAAGGATATTTCGGTTCAGGGTTTAGGGTTTAGGGTTTAGGATTTTGGTTTAGGGTTAGTAAGTACACCAGTAGGTTGCTAACAAGCCGACGGCTTGCAGGTCTCCGACATCCTCATGCATAGGGTGCTCGCGAACCCCACTAAGACCCCAAAGCCTAGAACCCCGCATCCTAAACCCCCCGACCCCTTCTTGTGGGGATTGTCGCCCTAAACCCTAAACCCTAAACCCTAAACCCTAAACCCTAAACCCTAAACCCTAAACCCTTTAAACCCTAAACCCTAAAGCCTCAAGCCTAAATTGGCAGCCTAAACCCTAAAGCCTAAACCCTAAACCCTGACCCTAAATCCTAAACTCTAAACCCTAAACCCTTATCCCCCACCCCCCCCCCCCCTCCCAAAGCCTCCAGAATTCGGAAGCCGCCACATCCGTGCCGATCTTCACCTTCCCAGCGTGCCCAGACTTCTCGATGGCCTGCGGGACGTTGGCTTAGATGATGGGCTTTGGGTTTAAGGGTGAGGGAACCTCGGGAGTCCAAACCTGTTGAGGTTGGGAGGGGGGAGGGGCGCGGGGAGGGGCGCGGGTTTGAGCTCGGGATCCATATCTGAGGCGAACATAACGGCGCCTCCATAAGGACGTCGAGGGCTTCGTTGTTGTCTTGCACGTTGGGCGCGAAACCCTTGGTGCGAGATTCAAGCAGCGAGGGGGTCGAAGCTTATGGCCCCTGGATTGATGTATTTCTAAACCTTACACTTGGGATGTTCCCCCCCCTGCACAAACAGTGTGGGATTCTAGTAGCCCCTACTATAATCCCTATATTCAGGACTGCTAGTATCAGGGTAAACATGCCCTATACCGGAAACGCGAAACCCTAGATGCACCTAGTGGGCACCTCGAGGATTGGCGTCAGGGTTTCGACCCTAGCTTCTGTCGACTGTAGACCATGGAGGAACCCTATACCCTTAAAACCCTACAAGTCCCCGAGGTCAAACTACGCCGAGGTCACGTTCGTTACTCCAGGTGTGCGCCTGTACTTGGGTCTGGGGTTTACGCTTTGGGGGCCCTTCTGAAAGCAACACATCACTGCTTTTGGTCATAGGACAAGTAATTCGCCGTAACCACTTTCAAGAGTTAGAGTTCTGGCCGTTGAGCTGAGACATCGACACCTTCGTCGCCAACGTTGCACGCATCCTGCCGGGGAATCTGAATGTGCGGACTTATCTGCCGCCTGACCACGCCAGCAAAGGCCATGCTGATGCTGGATTCCGCCCACTCCCGGATAACTTCCTTGGCTAGCGGTAATCTGTTACACCCAGAACTCACTCTAAACCACCAAACCCAACAGCCTGACACAACCCTAAGCCCCATGCAGCCCTAACCCTAAACCCTAAACCCTAAACACAACACTCCTAAACCCTCAGCCCATGTCTCCTGCCCGTACTTCTTCTTGATCACGCTCTTCAGGGTGTGGTACACCTCGGCGCCGATCTCCATCGCGTTCTTGAACGAGCTGGCACCTGCCGTGTCTCGAACTTCACCCGCATGATATATACATGTATATATATATATATATATGATATATGACTATAGTATGGTCAGTTCTCTAGCCTATGGTCCCTTTGTGGGATACCCTAAATAATAATTGACGCTTTATCATGAGGCCCGCCAAAAGGATCATAGTTTAGAGACGTGACCGTATGAAAAATAAGATATGATGGTATCATTCATTGTTTCGTGTACTGTTCTGTTATGAACACAACTGTCTGATTTTATGATGTTCCCAACACATTGCTATATCAGAAGCAAGGGTAAGATTTTGGGGATCCTGCCTACTGGCCACCCCCGCCAACCCCCCCCCCCCCCCAAAAAAAAAAAAAAAAACAATATATATATATATATATATTATATAATATATATACGAATAATTCGCCTCGGCTTCCTGCCGAGAAGCGTCTGGAACAAGCAGACCCGGATCAGGCCTCCTTCCCCCCAACAACCATGCCAAATTTTCTGACGCCACCCCCCCCCCCCCCCCGGACCCCCCCCAATCCCTTGGAGGAGCTGCAAATCGATGCCGTGGAGGGTCCCGCTTGTCGGTGGCTCCTACAGGGGGAGTGCCTCAAAACCCCACCCCCACCCCCCCCCCCCCCACCCCCCCCCACCCCCCCCCCCCCACCCCCCCCCCCTCACCCCCCCCCCGAGCTCCACCCGCTCTGCCCTTCCTCCCTTTTTTGCGAAACCCTCTTTCCTCCTTTCCTGTCCTGGGGCCGGCCCGGCTGCCGAGGCGGCGCGCGCAAGCGTTTACAATTATAAACAGAAAAGAAGACATGAATAACAGTAATCGACATAATAAAACTAAGAAAGAGCCAATGGTGCTCCGCCTGATGAAGTCTCGGCGTAGTGGGGCCTAAGCCGCTTTGTTGCGCGACTCCTTCTATGCTTCGTGGGTATCTCAAAGCGGGAAAGGGCCCATAACCTATATGCCGCGCTCGGAACCCCACACGGGAAGCTCCAAACTGCAAAAGCCCTAGACCCTGAAACTTATACAACTGTATAAGAAGAAGAAGAAGCAGAAGAAGAAAAAGAAGGCGAAGAAGCAGAAGAAGAAGAAAAATAAGAAGAAGAAGAAGAAGAGTGCTAACAATAATCCCCTACACACAGCTGCGCCCTCAGCTACCGAGTGGGCCTGTGGGAAGGATCATGAACTCCTGGCAAGCCAGCCGGTTTCCTGCATGGCTGCCGCCGTTGATGACATTGAAAGAAGGTACCTGCGCAGAGGTTCTTGGGGTTTGATCTAGGGGGTCGGAATAAGCACTAATTAGTGATGGGGTTTTTCTTGTGGTCCCTATATAAGTCTACTACAATAACCCCGCCCGAAACCCCATGCTAACAAGTAAGGCCCCTATATTCTAGGGTTCAGGGTTGGAGACCTCACGTGGAGGCTGAACTGTGAACCCTGACGTGGCCCCTTGCCAAGTGATGGAGCTTGTGGCCGGCTTAGCATTTAGGATCTCAAGGAGGTTTCGGAGCAGTTTAGGGGCTTGAGGGCTTCGTTCAAGGGACTAAAGGAGGCACCCTTATAAGGGACGTTAGGGGTTATTTAGGGGGTTATTTAGGGGCTACTTAGGTATATAGGGACATTGTTAGGTATATCTAGGGGCCATACAAGGGCTTGAGGGCTTCATGGGGCATGTGGCCCTTACCCTAAACCCTAAACCCTCAAAATGCTGAGCAAGCCGGAGAACCGGCATCACAAAGCGATCCGTTGGCTTTCCGGCCAGCTTCGCAATGTACCTCAAGCGCTGGGTCTGTAGGGTTTATTTAGGGTTTAGGGTTTAGGGTTTGGGGTTTAGGGTTTAGGGTTTAGGGATGCGCTGGCTGAAGGCGCCGCTCGGCTATCTCTACGGCCAGCTGAACTCTTTCCGCCTCTCTCTCTCTCGACAATCTCCATGACATTTTTTACAATGGAGTAAACGAGTCATCTTCTAAGAGTTCCAAAAAGGCTTTGGGGATTCCGGGCGCTTCTGCGGCGATCGCTCCGAGCATCTTAGAGGCAGCATACACTCGGAAAACGCGCCTTGCACCTCACTGTCATCATTCAGGTTGAGAGGTTGCGAGGGCATGCTAGGCGCTAAAAAAAGCAGAGACCCCCAAGCCCTGTAAGGCCTTGAACCCAAAAATCCGAAACCCCCAAACCCCAGAAACTTACCCTACAAAACCCATTCGACCCGAAACCCTATCAACCCCGTAAACCCTACAAACCCAATAACCTAACACCCTAACCCTTGAAACCCCATAACCCACAAAACCCTGTAAACCCGATAAAACCCTAAAAGCCATAAGCCCTCTAAACCCAATTAACATATTTATGAACCCCGAGCATCCTCAACCCGATAAACCCTGTAAACCCCCACAAACCTGAACCGGGCCCCGCGGCTCATACAGGGGGACCTCCGACGCCGCCGCGCCTGCGCGGCAAATGGCCATGGAGACCTCTGCCGTCTTAAGGTTCAGGGCTTTGGGGTTTAGGGTTTGGGGTTTGGGGTTTATGGTTTCGGGTTTAGGGATTGTGGTTTTAGGACGTGGGGTTTATGGGTTTAGGGTTGAGTTCGAATTGGGCTCCTTAGGGCTTAGGATTCCTGCGGGAGTTCCCTTGAGCGGCTTGCCGAATCATCACAGCCTACACACCCTAAGGCCCTAAGGTTTAGGGTTTAGGGTTTAGGGCGCCGAAACCCGAAACCCGCATACGCCAATTTGAGGTACCCCAACTTCGGAGAAGAATAGAACGGGCTTTCTGGGCCATCTAGGCGATCATGAGGGGACAAAAGCCCAGCCCCCTGTTTAAACGATACTTTCCTGAGAGCAACAATAAGGATCTTATGTCTCTTAAGTCCCTTTGGCACATCACTCCTCAGGATCCTCTGGGGACAAACGCGGCCCCTAAAGCCTAAACCCTAAACCCAAAACCCTAAACTTCCTGAACCCTGAACCCTGAACCCGAGAAGAACCCGAGGATCCCGCGGCCAGGATGGCGTTCGCACCAAGCTTGGACTTGGACCTACCCAGAGACTTTGAGAATATTGGGGTTCCTAGTACAATTGAAGGGATGTTCCCCAATTAAGGGGGTTTGGAGTCTCTGGGTACAGGTAGGGTGTTCAGATATTTGTTGTGAAAGAATTGGAGGATTAGGGGTTGAAACGGGGTTTAGGGTTTAAAGGGTTTAAAAGGTTTAAAGGGTTTAAAGGGTTTAAAGGGTTTAAAGGGTTTAAAGGGTTTAAAGGGTTTAAAGGGTTTAAAGGGTTTAAAGGGTTTAAAGGGTTTAAAGGGTTTAAAGGGTTTAAAGGGTTTAAAGGGTTTAAAGGGTTTAAAGGGTCTAAAGGGTTTAAAGGGTTTAAAGGGCTAAAGGGTTTTGGGGGGGGGGTTTTCGGGATAGCGATGTTCAAGGTTTAGGCGGGGTGCGGGCTCACGCATCAAAAAGGATCCAAGCCCACGACGCCACGGGATGCGGGCGCAAGGTTTACGTACGGGGGGTTTAGGGGGATGAGTCCTCGGGAACCCCTAAACCCTAAACCCTAAACCCTAAACCCTAAACCCTAAACCCTAAACCCTAAACCCCTACCAGACTGCAGCCCCCCACGGGCCAGATGCTGTCTGGGACTTCAAGCAGACTTTAGGGGGATTCTAGGGTTTAGTTTAGGATTCTAAGGGTTTACATACGAACCTCGGATTAGGCCACTCAATAGGGTTGCCAAGTCTCAAAAGCTCACTGGGAGCAGAGTAGCCCTAAACCCTTAACCCGAAACCTTAAACCCTAAACCCTAAACACTGCCTAAACCCTGAGCCTTAAAGGAACCCCCCGAGGCTCCCACCAGCCCCACTCGTTCTTGGAGCCGTCGAGCTCCTCCACCATCAGCTTGTCGATGGTTGCCTGGCGAGGCGCAGTTCCCACTTCCGAAGAATTCTTACAGAAGAGTCCTACATTGGGGTTTAGGGTTTAGGTTTAGGGTTTAGGGTATATGAGCCTCTTATTAAACCCAATACGGGAAAAAGATCGAAAGCACAAGTCCCGATGTCCATGCTGCCTGAAACCCAGGCCCCCTAGACTCGGGAAGCGAAACCGTAGACCGCAAGCCCCAAGTTCTTGATCTTCGCCTGCTCAGTGACCTTCATGCCAATCAACTTCGGGGCGATGATGTCGTTGATGTTCGAAACGGCTTTCTGGACACCTGGGGCCGTCTCAGCCCTCTACAGCAGCACTGGCATACGGGTCACCCTATGCCTGATGCCCCGGAGTTCTTCAACCGCCTGCTTTCTGAACTTGAAGTTCCGACGTCTCATTCCTCCTAGGACATCCCTACACTGAACGCCGAGTTGCCCCAAATGATAGGCTGCTCAGCCCTCCCCCCCCGCCGCACCCCCTCCAAAGACATAGAATCGGGAACTGTCGCCCAATAGTCAAGTCTGCTTCAGGGTAAACCTTGACCCACCTAAAAACCCTATCATCTAATAACCTGTAAACCCTAAATCCCTTAAAAGCCCATAAACCCAAAAAGGGTCTTATGAGGCCATATTCGGGTTTTGGGCAACCCTCGACCCAGCTGTCAGGAACACCGGCAGTGAAGCGGCCGAGCGTCCTTTGCCCAGGAGCCGCCCCTTGTCACCGTCTCTCAGTTCGAGGGCCTCTGCGTGATGATCTTAACCAAAACCTCAAAGGTTTGGGGTTCTGGGTTAGGGCCTTGGGTTTAGGGAGGGTTTAGGGTTTAGGGATAGGGTTCGGGTTACTTTAGGGGCCACGCCTAGGCGGCATATACACCAACCCAAAAACCCTGCAAGGCTCCGAGACCAGGCTGCGTGAGGGCTTGCGGGCGGCGCTTAGCAGGCTTCCTTGGAGGTTCATGGTACTTATTGCCCAAGTATAGCTGTACTTATACCTGTACTGATAACCATACTAGGGCACTTAAGGACTTAAGGGGCTTATCAGTGGCTTATAAGTACAGTTAGAACTGGTTAAATAAGTACCATGAGCCTCCGATGGTGGCTTCCACTGCCCGCACACCCGAACGCGGATCCCTGAACCCTGAAGCCCAAACTTCAACGTTCACTTAGACCCCTGCCACCTTCACGACCACCACCAGCAGCTATAAGCAAACCTCCTGAAGCTGTACCCTTACCACAAGAAGGAAGCTGAGGTACCAAAACCCTCGGCCCTACACCCTAACAGGGTTTAGGGTTTAGGGTAAACCCTAAACCCTAAACCCTAAACCCTAATTAAACCCTAAACCCTAAACCCTAAACCCTAAACCCTAAACCCTAAACCCCGTCGCCTCGTAGATCCCCGTGGAAGCGCCGCTAGGCACCGCAGCGCGGAACAGCGAAGTCTCCGTGCAAAGGTCGACCTGGCGCTAAACGCGCGATGGGAGTTGGAAAAAAGAAGACCCTAAACCCTAAACCCTAAACCCTAAACCCCAAACCCTAAACCCCAAACCCTAAACCCTAAACCCCGAGTAGGGTTCAAGGTCTGAGAGGGATTCACCGGCTTAGGGCTTATAAGGGTTTGGGGGATTCAGGTTGTGTGCATGGGCTTAACACAACTTGAAGGGCCAAAGGTATAAAGATTTGTGCAAGGGTTACAGAACTTAGGATATGAATAGACGGAGCTTGTATAGAGTGACTGGTTTAAGGTGTTAGGGCTTACAGGGTTAATGGGTGGTCTGGGGTTGAGGGCATGCTGTTTACTGTTTCAGGTTAGAGAATCGCAAGGAAGCACACACTACTGTGGTTCGCACTGCAGTTGCTGGTGATCTCGTCCCCCTTCCAGGACTTGGCGTCGCATGCGTCAGGAGGTTGGCAAGCAACGAACACATGCATATCATCGGCGGACCAGGACGGGCTATTATACCCTGTAACCCCCTAAACAGACCCATTATAGGGTTGATTCTGGGGATTCTGGGGCCTAATAGCCCATCCTGGGAGTGAGTATGTTGAGTATAGAGCCCACCGCGAATTCCCGTCGTGATGGCTGCTTCGCTGCATTGAAGTGGCACCGCTGTGAAGCCGTGAATCATAGCTTCACAGCGGTGCCACTTCCATGGTCGGCGGTTTAGGGTTTAGGGTTTAGGCTTAGGGTCTAGGGTTTAGGGCTTAGGGTTTCGGGTTTCGGGTTTTTGGCTTTTTGGGCTGGAAGTCGGGAAAGCCTCCACCAGGTGGTCCATGGTGGATGAGTACCCAGGCCGATCGGACCACACCCTTAAAATTTGTGCGCTCGGCCTGGGTACTCCTCCACCACATCAGTCTTGTCATCAGAATGGAATCCGTCAACACCGTGCTGCTGAACAGGGCACCAGCGGGGCCCTTGCGAGCTCATGAGGGTTTAGGGTTTAGGGTTTAGGGCTCCCCTTGCAACTACTGCCCTGCGCACCTCGACAGTCGGATTCCCTCGGGAGTCGTAGATCTCGCGTGCCCGGATTAAGACAATCCTGTGGCGCAGCATAAAAGGCGTGGTCTGGTCAGAAGGTGTAAGACCCTAAATCTCCCGACAAACCGTACAGTTGACAAACAATTCAGCACACTCCTTGCCAGCAGAAGAAGCCCTAAAGCCTGAACCAGCTACAGTCGCGGCCTGTCGTCGCTTCCCGCGAGCGGGGTTGCAAGCATCGCAGACATCAGCTTCCTTGGCGAGGGCTTCACGGTTCAGGGTCCGGGGTTCAGGACCTGAATTCTTGGGTGAGGAATGTTAGGCTGGTTCCAAAAAGTACTAGACTTTAGATAGAATGTATGTATAGCGAGAACTCCACTGTGTCGATGCCCTAGCACCGGAACCCGAGCGATAATTCGACCGATTTTGGTGCAGAATGCCTCGGCAAGCTAGGTTGGGCGCTAAAGCCCTCTGAACAAGTCTTCCTATACATGACCTTCAAACAAAACCACAAACATAGACCCTAAGCCCTAAGCCCTAAGCACTAAACCCTAAACCAAGTTACGCGGACATCTGGGGTGAGCCAAAGCCCGCAAGCAAAGGCACGTGAGACGCGCAGATTCTTCCGGAGCAGCCAACAGGTACCCTGGCAACACCCAAAGCCCTACCAGGACGGGCTATTATACCCTATGCCCCTTAGAACGGCCCTTTATAGGGTTGATTGTGGTGATTATCGGGCCTGATAGACCGTTCTGGTACAGCCCTACAGCATCATTTTTCTACGAAAGATTGCCGTAGAAATGGACATGCCGATGTGTCCGCGACAGGAAACATAACCACCCCGCCCCTTCCTGCCCCAACCTCTCAAACACCCAAACCCTAAACCCTAAACCCCAAACCCTAAACCCTAAACCCTAACCCCTGAACCCTAAACCCTGAACCTAAACCTTAAACCCCCTAAACCCTAAACCCTAACCCCTGAACCCTAAACCCTGAACCTAAACCTTAAACCATAAACCCTAAACCCTAAACCCCACTGACAGGGATCTGCGTGGGCTTCTGGAAGCCGGAAGCATCGGCTCCACCACCTGCAGCCAGCCCCAGAATCGGTGGAGCTTTGTTTTTCGGGGGGTTAGGGTTTAGGGTTTGGGGTTTAGGGTTTAGGATTGAGGTTTAGAGGCGGGGGGGGGGGGGGGGGGACTTTCTTGATCCCCAAACAGTGTGTCAACCCTAAGGGGGCTAAAACTTGGTAGGAGCGCCTGTAGCGCGACGTGTGTTTTTTGGCATGGCCAGAATGTGGAATGTGCTGAAACCCAGGCAAAACGCACATGTCTGCTTAAGAATTGCTATGTTGCAGGGGCCGAAAGTGTGTAACAGTGTCTATTTTCGAGCGACCATGACGTTCCCGCCTAGGCAAAAAGCACATTTTGCCGCGGACCGTCTGAGAAACTTTGTTCAGCTGCACTTGTTGGCAGCTTGGCACAGCTTGGAGAGAGCTCTGAACACATCTGAGTGCAATATTCTATGGACTTTCTATTATTAAGGAGTTAGTACGAAATCCTTTATTAAATTCATGCCTCATTTCATTCGTTATAATTTAATTCGGCTTTCTCTTCGTAATCCTAATGTTTGGGCTTTTTGTAAACCAATGAATGACCCTACAAATGAAGGCAAAGAGCACATAATTCTAAGGTTTTTAGAGGTGTTTTGGGGGATTTGGTCTAGCTCCTAAAGACTTATTAAAAGCCCTTTCATCGCTCCCTTCATTCCTTATAGTATTATTGCATATCCAATCTCTAGGATATATTACTAATAGAGAACGAATATAATATTAGGGGAACGTCCTAAGGGTTACTATGTGAATAAGAGAATTATACGGGGTTCTTCATGAAGATATAGAATTATGGCCCGGGTTTCTATCTTTAGAGCGGTTTTCACGCACTTTCTACAGGTTCGTACACTCATTAAAAGTAGTGAAACATAAGATTCATGCGTTTACGCGGTAAGACATGAAGGAGCTGAGGTTCAATGGATGCACTAAAAACCCTGGAATTATTAACCAAACCTGTGAATGAACCGTATTAATATTAGTGCGTAAACTCGTGAACGAAGTGGTCTTTTTCCCCCATTATTCTACTGTCTGGGTGTGTGAATGAGTACACGCGTGAATTATATTACAAGTGTACGAAATGAACATTAGAAAGAAGAAAATAATATGCGGGCGAAATGAAGAGAACAATAGTGCCCGCAATAATATTAAAACTACGTAGAGAGTGCACCCGAAACCTACAACATGAACCCCTGTGCTCTCGAAAAGCACGTAACCCCCCCCCCCCCCCCCCAACCCAACCCAACCCGAGAATCAACCAGAATCGCCAAAACGAATGGAACGCGCCCGTCGCGTAAGGGGCGCTCCCGCCTAAAACTTGCAGCGGAACTTACCGTTGGTTAGTAGGGGATGGGGGAATGAGGCACTTTAGATCCCCCTATGTATACCCTTTCAGGGATTATTCAGGGTACCTCATTCCCCCATTCCCTACTAACTGTAAGGTAAGAGGAGAGCTTAGTTCGGCGGGCCGACAGCGGCATACACGCTGTGGGCCAATGCTATCCTCCGCGAGGTCTGCTCTCTCGCCTAGGCGCGGGCGTGTCCGCCGACGCCAGCCTCGAAACCGTCATCGCTTTTGGGCTTCTGGGCTCAAGAGCTGCGAAACTGTCTGGCTTTTGGATGTCGGGGCCCGCTTAATGGGAAACTGGCATCGCTGTTGACATGTGGTTCCCGTCTCATCTCGCGCGGCTTCCGCCAGTCGGCTGCAAGTCGCAGACCGACTCTGGGCCCACGTGCACGGTTCTGCTCTAGAGTGCCCCGGCTGCGAATGTTGCCTGGAGGGGTTTGGGGTTTGGGGTTTAGGGTTTAGGGTTTAGTGTGCTTGGAGTGGTCTCGGTGTACTTCGGGTGTGCTCTTGGACCATTGGAGTGTGCTTTCGTGTCCCCATGGTCTCTCACACTTTAGGGTCTGCGCAAGTCCCGACTTCGAGAGCTTCGGGACCCCACGTAAACCCCCTTATATGGCATGCTCCCCAAATTCATGCCCTGTGCGGGTACCGATTATCATTACCTCTCTAAATCCCTTGTCACAACTTCCCCACCCTTCTTGAGTCGGGCATGCGCCCACAATCCTTTTGATACCCCAAAGAGAGGAGAAACCCCCTTAAAGGGGCACCCTCAGTCCTAAACCCTAAACCGTAAACGCTAAACCCTAAACCCAAGAAACCCTCCAAAAGGGTACCCCCCCATGTTCGGCAACCCCCCAGTCGGCCTTTGCGAGCTTCGGAGAGGTATTTCCGCACCTTCACGCCGAGAACCTTCCCGAGCTCCACACCCCACTGGTCGAAGGAGTTGATGTTCCAGACCTGGAGAATCTCGAGGTTTAGAAGGGTTGAGGGTTCAGGGTTAAGGGTTTAGGGTTAAGGGTTTAGGGTTAGGGTTTAGGGCTTTGCGGGCGTAGGGTTTTGATGGCAGCTTGAGAGGAGCTTGAACTGACTCTTGCTTTTTGGTGGAAGTAGGAAGTCAGGGACGAGGGTTCATGCTTGCTTCAGTCCTTTCCTGGCCCGACAATTTTTTGCCATTCGGTCTCTGTGGTGGATCCCCACCTTTCGTCCCACCTCTTCCCCAATTCAAGATCAGTTTAGGCGCCCTAAGCCCATCTAAACCCGAAAAAAACTGCAGCTCCTCAAATGCGCATAGACGCTATAACCCACAAGTGCTGAAGCCCAAACCCCTTGATACCCTACACCCTGAAACCCCTAAACCCTAAAACCCAAACTCTAAGTCCTGAAACCCCCAAACCCTGAAACCTGAGACCTGAAACCTGAAACTTGAAAGCCGAAAACCCTGAAACCTACACGGCAGAACCCTGAAACCCTAAACCCTAGCCCTAAACCCTAGCCCTAAACCCTATAAACCCTAAACCCTTGAGGCTCCGGCCCAGCCCTGCACGGCCGTGCGATGCTCGTAAAGTGCCAGGAGCAGTCCGAGGTTGAACCTCACGGAGTTTCTGGGTTTAGGGTTTAGGGTTTAGGGTTTGGGGTTTGGGGTTATAGGGTTTAGGGCTTAGGGTTTGGGATTTGGGGTTTAGGGTGTATTGCGGGGGTGGCAGTCAGTTCTGGGGCGTGGGAGTTCCTACGCCCTAACCGCGAACTCCCTAAAGTCTCAACAACCTAAACCGCTGTCTTGGGTAGTGCTTCTAGCTTCCTAGGACTACAAACAGGTGAACACAAGTATAGGAGCCTGGTCAAAAACTCCACATTCCCCTGAAGGATGCAGGCTTTAACTACGGATTGCAAGCGCTATACCTTTCAACTAGGATTTGGGGTACCAGTCCTAATAGGGATTATACTAGGGGGTATGCTAATCCGTATTAACGACTGCTAGTATAAGGAGGAACATCCCAATCCTAAACCCTAAACCCTAAACCCTAAACCCTACTTGGTATAAGGGGGAACATCCCAAACTAAACCCTCTAAAGCTCACAAACCCCGAGCCAGGTGGCGGATCGCACACTGGCAGCAGCAAGGAGTTGGAGGGGCGATCTCCAGTGAAGACTTTGTGCCTCAGATGGTGAGCCGCCCTAAACCCTAAACCCTTAAACCCTAAACCCTAAACCCTAGACCCTAACATCGGGAGCCCAAGAACATCAAAGCTCCGAAATCGCAGTGTTTGGGGTTTGGGGTTTAGGGTTTAGGGTTTGGCATTTATAGGGGCTCGCACTCCCCACCCGGACCCCAAAGTACACAGAAAAGGAGTTCTGGGGTTAAGGGTAGGAGGGTTTCCAGGGTGTAGGCCCACAAGAGCCTTACGGCTCACTTTGGGGGGGCCGGGGGGGAGACCCTAACCCAAAACCGGCAAGGCCTCACAACACGTTTTACGCCCAGAAAACACAGCACTAGGACCCCCTGTAACTTAGGAGCAAAACAGGCACCGTGCTGGTTTTAAATAGGTTTGTACAAGAGATCGTAACCCTTAAGCCCTAAGTCCTCAACCTCAACCCCGACAAGGGAAAGGGCACCACTGGGCGTCCTAGAGCAAGCGGCGGGATCAACTTCTCGGGGACTCCATCCGCCTGGCCGCACTCGCCACTCCACCACAAACAGGAACTGAACACCTAAACCCTAAGCCGCAGTTCAGGTGCTGTTGAAATCTGGGTTCAGGGCTTAAGGCCTGTTTACAGTTGAGGGCTAAGATTTCAAGGCTCGGAATTGTCAATGTGCAGGTGTTAAGGGCTTTTTGGGTTTGGGGTTTGGGAAACCCTCCATCTAGACCCTAAATCAAAACCTTCAACCCTGAAGCTCCCTCTCATAAAAACATGCCAGGGTCAGGGCCTTATTCAGGGATCAAAGAGCTCAAGCCCTTGGGCACGAAAGATTCTTGGGCATGGCTTCAGGGTTCCGGATTATAAAATTCTGGATGATGCTTATTAGGGTGTTCACATCAGAGATGATAGAGGGCTCAGGGACCACCAACCCAAAAAAAGGCACATCAGGGATAATACTAGGGCTTAGAGACCATCGACCTACCCAAAAAGAATCTCAGCCTTCAGCTCTTCGGCTGTCTTCCCCAGAGCCAGGGCATCCGGCTGCGCGAAGAAGTTGGACATCAGCTCATCGTGGTTGGACACGGCCTCCCCATCCAGGCCTCAGGGTTCCAAAAGCTGGAGTTTCGGGTTGAGGGTGTAGGGTTTGGGGTTCAGGGTTTGGGTTTTGCACCGATTCGGGGCCGTTGATTCTGACTTTGCCACGATCCATCTAGGCATCCCCACAGTCCCATGTAGCCTCGAGTTTGGCGGGTCAAGGCTGCGGGGGGTTAGGGGCCTTTTTTGTAGGGTTTTATAAGCCTTGTGATTCAAAATAGGGTCTATTTTTAGGGCTCATCGGGTCAGTGTTCGCCGATGTGTCCTTTTCCTCCTCTGCACTGAAGCCCTGTTACCACCCTCTAGGCTGCCCCCCCTAGGCTCCCCCCTTAAATGACCTGAATTAGGCTCAAAATATCCTTAAATAGCCTTAACTATGGGGGAGCCTGAGCGGGGTTTGTTTCGAGGGGGGTAGTGCCCCTAAACCCTAAACCCTATAGTAGGTGAACCCGTGATGTTTGAAGCCGTGCTGCTGATGGGGTTCTGGGACACCTTGAAGCCAATGAAGTCGGCTGGGATGACGCGTCCTCCACGCGGTCGTCGTAAAGGGTTCAGGGTTTAGGGTCTGGGAATTAGGGTTTAGGGTTTAGGGTTTAAGGTTCAGGGTTCAGGGTTTAGGGTTTAGGGTGGGGTGCAGGTTTCCCATAAGCCCGGACCAAACAAAAGGCCAAGGACCTCAGGTCCCGAAACCCCGAATTCTGAACCCCACTCCCCCCCCTATCCCCAAACCCTAAACCCTAAACCCCAAACCCTAAACCCTAAACCCCAAACCCTAAACCCTAAACCCTTGGCTCCCTGGTGCATGAGCTGGTAGAAGCTGTGCTGGCCGTTCGTGCCGGGCTCGCCGAAGTAGATGGCGCCCGTTGGCACCTCAAGGCTGTGAGAAGCACAGAGGCTTTTGGGCTCATAGGGTTTAGGGTTTAGTTTAGGGTTTAGGGTTTAGGGATTAGGGCTGCTAAACCATACCGACATTTCCCAAAATACACGTACCCGAAATTGACCCGAAAAAGCTCTAATCACTCTAATCCTTGCTATAGGACCCCCCCCCCCCTGCCCTTTGTCGGAAACTTCCACTACTAAGGAGTTTGATGGGTAACTTTTCCCATGCACTTCGCGTGGCCCATCTGAGGGAACTTCAGAAAACGGCGAGCCACCTCCTTAGCACTAAACCCTAAACCCTAAACCCTAAACCCTAAACCCTAAACCCTAAACCCTAAACCCTAAACCCTAAACCATGATCTTTGGGTCGGTTGGGACTCATGGCGCGATCAAAGTCACCCACCCAGGGCTCCCTTGTGCCCTGGGCCTCTGAAACCTTCCGCCCCTGAACCCGGGATGTTCTTGACCTCCCAAAACCCTAACACCCCGCGGTTTAGGGTTTAGGGTTTAGGGTTTAGGGTTTAGGGTTTAGGGTTAGGGTTTAGGGTTTATATTCTTGAACTCCCAAAACCCTAACACCCCGTAGTTTTTTTGACAACCCCAATGACCTCTTTTAGATGTCTAACGCTTGCTTGGGGGTTCTTGTTGCCCAGTCGGTAGGCTTAGACTCAGGTGTTCCTGCAGATGATGAAGGCCCCCTGCCTATCGATCCCAACTTCGTTCATACCCCGTGATTTACAGTTTAGGGTTTAGGTTTAGGGTTAGGGTATTTGCATCTGCGCCACTGTGCAGTCTGTACCGTCCATCTGCACACGCTTTCCTCGAGCAGGGCCAGCCAGAGAACAAGGGTCAAGGTCGCGGAGTGTGGGGCTTGTGGGCGTTTGTTCGTCGGAGGTCAAGATGGGCTATGGTGTCAACTGCGGATCTGAACGTGATCACGCAGTCAAACTATGAAGCTTCCCAAAACCCAAAACCCTAAATCCTAAGCCCAAAACACTAAACCCTAAACCCCAAACCCTAAACCCTAAACCCTGTACTCTGTAGCAGATCTTGCCCAGGTGCCATTGCTCTCCATGTCCAGCTGTTGGATGTGCGCCACGAATCGCCTTGGGTATGTGTGCAGTGACAGAACTGACCTTCCAGGATGGGCTTTTGGGCTTTTGGAGGGTTTAGGGTTTAGGGTTCAGGGTTTAGGGTTTAGGGTTTAGGGTTTAGGGTTTAGGGTTTAGGGTTTAGGGTAGGCCTTATAATCCCCATAGTCAACCCTGCAAAAGGACTTTGTAAAGGGTGGACGGTGTGCTGGCCCATCCTGGTACACCAAACCCTCAGGTCGCAGTTCTTGGATGACTGTCCCGCTTGAAAAGGTCGTAAACATTGGCAGCAGCTGCGCTTCATCAGGGGTAAGGCCTGCCATGCCGCCTACCTCCTTGAAAGCATCTGACCCAACTACAGCCGCCCACACTGACGACATATTCAATCTTGCGCGTAGTGCCTCTGTACCCCGAGTTTGGGGCTTTGGGGAACCCGCTGGGAGGTGGTTGAGCACACAAAACAAGCGCAGCTGCAGGCAACCCCCTGATTTCCATCAGCTGGAGTTTCCAACCCTGAACCCACACCTTCGACCCGAATTACTCCCTACATAGTTGCCAGCACTACGGTATAACCTCTTTCTGACTCCAAGTCAAGTTCAGCCCCCACATACTCAGAACTTGACTGAGAAGGCCTAAACACAGCAACCCTAAACCCTAAACCCTAAACCCTAAACCCTAAACCCTAAACCCTATACCCTATACCCTATACCCTAAACCTATCCTAAACTGCCCAAGAACAAGGCAACCTGCTCTTGCTGGCGAAGTTTGCTAGGAGCAGACAAAGGTCAGCCTGCAAGCCTTCAGGGAATGCTTATAGCAACTATAGTACCCCCAAAAGGGCTAACGCTGTACCCTAAACCCTAAACCCGAAACCTTAAACCCTAAACCCGAAGGTACCTAAGTATTAATTTCGCAGGCCCGGGCACACCAGCGCCTGGCAGTAGGGCAAGACCGCGCAGCCCTGTCGGGCGGAGCTTTGGGTGTGTTTGCCTAGCCCCTGCCCTAGCAGAACTCTTTCGATTCTTTAGATGCAATTGCTTCATGGTTCTGTGGTGATGGAGGACTTCGAAAACTCATGGTAACGAGTATAGGTGGTGTCTCTGCATATATAAAATATACACATACAGTCATTCGTGCATGAGCGAGGGCTTTCAATGGGATGCTCTTGCTATAAACCCTAAACCCTAAACCCCAAACCCGAAACCCCAAACCCCAGACCCTAAACCCTAAACCCTAAGCCCTAATTTGCGGAGCCTCGTAGCCGAGGCAGGATGCGTTCCAGACGGACAGAAGCCCCAGGATTGTGGGCAGGTTCCTCAGAGACAAGCAAGCTTGGAGTTTAGGGTTTAGGATGGTTTAGGGTTTAGTTTAGGGTTTCGGGTTTGTTGTTTAGGGCGACTGGGACCTGAAACACGATTATTAGAGGTTAAGCATCAGGGGATTGTGAAATTGAGGCGCGGCCAAGCAAAGTCGCCTTATGGCACTCTGTCAGCTCTTGTTTCTGCTCATGTTGCCAGGAAGAGAGACCGCTATTGTCTCCAGGTCCCTAAGTCCCACAACCTGTTCATCCTCAAAGCCCTAAACCCTAAACCCTACACCCTAAACCCTTTTTACTTATGAACCCCTTCCGGGCCCCACATCTGAACCCTCCACCCCCAGGGATATCTCTGACAAAGCCTCTTTTCCGCCGGCGCGTCCCGGAAGTGCATGTCCATAGCCCTGGCGCCCGAGAGGAACTTCTGCACGATGTCGAAGCCATACCTTATTCAAGGGCGTTTTTGGGGTGTAGGGCTTGTCGGGTTTAGGGTGTGTAGGGCTTATAGGGTGTAGGGCTTATCGGGTTTTGGATGTGTAGGGTTTATAGGGTGTAGGGCTTGTAGGGTTTGGGTGTAGGTTTTAGGGTGTAGGGCTTGTAGGGTTTAGGGTGTAGGGTTTGGGGTGTATAGGGCTTATAGGGTTTAGGGTGTAGGGTGTAGGGCTTAGGGTGTAGGGCTTATAGGGTTTACGGAAGGGTTAAGCGGGGTTGAGGAGTCGCGACCCATGAGCAAAACCACCCGAACAGCGCCCCCTTAACCCCTTTGCCGAGGCCATGAAGCACGAAACTCTCTGGTGGAAGAAACCCCAACCCTAAACCCTAAACCCGAAACCCTACACCCTGCACCCTAAACCCTAACCCTAGACCTTAAACCCTAAAACCTAATTGCCCTAGTGCATCGCAGCCGCTGCAGCGCGAGGGGCACGACGCCCACGGCACTGCAGACGGAGAACCGCCCCCCTGGGGTAATCTGCGTTCACACACCATGAAGAGGCTTGCGGATTTTTAAAGGATGTAAGCTTGTGGTGGCTTTTAAATTACTGTTCGGCATTGATATCTTGGAGCCATGAGATTGTCATGCCACGTCGGTTTCAGGCTTGGCCTTACTTGTCACTGACATCGCGCCAAAGCTGTTTAGGGTTTAGGGTTTAGGGTTTAGGGTTTAGGGTTTAGGGCGGAAGTCCTGGCAGAAGTATTTTGGTGGCTTTGGGCCCAAAGCCCGAAATCCAAATGGGCTTCTGCAGCTCCCGAGGCCCGGCAACTCTGAGACCCAAGTTTGATTCCTTAAGTGGTAGTGTGTGCCATTTCTGGAGTACCCTCAACAACAGACTCCCAGACAGAAGGCTCCCGAAACGGAAAGGCACCCCCCCCCCCCCCCCAAAAAAAAAAAAAAACAAGAGAAGGAACGCATTCTGAGAGAGAACTAGTCCGCCCTAAGCCCTAAACTCTGAACCCCACCCTCGCCCCCCCCCCTCGCCCAAAAAAAAAAAGAGAACCAAACTGAGAGAACGAGTCCGATGCAGCCGGGATGCCCACCCAATCCCAGAAGCCGAAGACGTTGTTGGAATCGATGCCGAAGGCCTTGGTCTTGTCCTCAGCGGCTTCGGCGGTTTTGGGTATCGGGTTTAGGGTTTAGGGTTTAGGGTTTAGGGTTTAGGGTTTAGGGTTACGGATTTAGAGTTTACGGGCAGGGTCCCCGGACCTCCGCATCTCAGCCTTAAGCCCTCGAAAGCCAATCCGCAGAGCATGTAGCTCTGAAAGCCCTGAAGCCCTTAACCGAGGGTTTAGGGTTTAGGGTTTTGGCGGGGTGCAGTGGAATTGAATGTCCTGTTTTACCTCCGAAAACTCTGAAACCCAAATTTCGGCTTCAGGGTTTCTAAGGTCAGGAAAAATATCAGACACATCCAGAGGCCCTACCAGGACAAAGGGAACATGCCCCTTTCCCAGACCTCTACAGCAGAAGCCGAGGCCCCCTGCTAGAGCGGTGGAGCACGCGATGACCTGGTCTGCGAGTCTTGCTTAGGGCTGGTAGGGCTTATGGGGCACATGGGGCTCGTAGGGGCTTGTAAGGCTTATAGGGCTCGTAGGGGCTTGTAGGGCTTATAGGGCTTATGGGGCTTAGGCTTTGGTTCAGGGTCTTCACAGTGATTTAGGGAGCTCAAAGGATGATTCATTGCTGGATCCCTTAGATGGCGTCGTGTAAGCGGAACCGTTGGCCCTTGAACCCCTCTGCAACTTAGGGCCCAACAGAAGGAAGTTTCAACTATACCAAAGGGTTTAGGGTTTAGGGTTTGGGGCCTAAACCCCTAAACCCCAAAACTGCCGAACCCAACTTAGGGTGGCGGGCTAAACCCTGAAGCCACAACAAAGAGAGACGGTCGAAACCCCCAAGCCGGGCCGAAGCCCAAGACGCGTAAACGCTGAACCCTTAGACTCTGAACCCAAAAAGCAAAAGTTCTGAGGGATAGGGTGAACCCTAAACCCTACCAAACCCTAGTTGTCAAAGCCTTGCACCCTGAAACCTTAAAGCCTGAACCCCCAACGCGGCACAATCCCCTCCCTAGTTGCTGAGCACCCTGGGCCCAAAAAACAGGTTAACCTTTCAATTCTGGTTCGCATTCTATATACCCCCAAAGGCTCAAGGTTACCTCCTCAACTAGTAAGATTCTACAATGAAACCCTAAACCCTGAACCCTGAACCCTAAACCTGTCAATGATTCTATATACCCCAAAAGGTTCTAGTTTACCTACTCCACTACTAAGCCTTCTAGTCAGGGAACATGCTTCGCAATGGCTGCATCGGTGCCAAGCTCCTCGCGCGGTTTGGGTTTAGGGTTTAGGGCTAGGGTTTAGGGCCTAGGGGGTCTGAAGGCTGAATGAATTCATGAGATATTTCGTTGAGTCGGGACTTTGAGGTACGACATCGTCACCTGCTCAGTACCTCTAAGCCTTTAGTTCAAGCATACACATGCAGAGGCTCGCAATTTCGGTCGAGCTCCTGTCTTCTCTGGGTGCCCACAGCCCAGGGCTCAGTTTCAGGGATTGGGGTCTTGTGGTCTAGGGTAATACAGGGGTCGGGATAATTACTAATGGTATTCCCTTATGGTCCCTCTATACCTATACTATAAGAACCCCCCAAAACCCTGTTCTAATCATCAAAACCCCTATATTCCCTGCACAGGATAATTTCAAAGCTTCGCCTTCTAAGCGTTGACGGCCCGCTTTGTGTCCTTCACCAGCCAGTCTTTGACCGTTCGAGCATTCAGCATCGTCTCTGCCTTGAAGTAGAATTGGGTTTAATGTCAGCTTACAGGTGCAGAAGCTTTAAAGGGTTTTGGGTTTGGGGTTTAGGACCTAAGCACGCATCCCCTCAAAGACCCGAAAGCTCCGAAATCTCCCAAAACCGTTGTTTGGGAGGCATCGGTCCACCAAGTGCCAACGACCTGTTTTGGTCAACAGAGAAGGGTCCCTCTCGGCCGCAAAGAATGCTGCATGCTGCACAAGAATACTCACGTGGGCAAGAAACTAACTTCGAGGATGGCCCAACAAAAACCATCCCAAGGGCCTACCTGCTTGTAACTTGTGCTGGGAGACGGTAGTGAAGGTCTTGGAGATAACGACGACCAGCGTGGTTTCTGCATTCAGCCCGCTCCTGAGCTGTGCAGTCAG